TAGGAGGTGGGATGCATCAACCCTGCCTGTCAGGGGGGCGGCCCACAAGGGTAGAGAAGAATACATCGTCCCAACGGACGGACGGAGATACTCGTGTGTGTGTGTGTGTGTGTGTGTGTGTGTGTGTGTGTGTGTGTGCGCGCGTGTGCATTTAAGCATGACAATATAATGTTTGTGGATCTTGTGCAATTCCATTTCTATTCCTACTTTTCTTTTATGAATAATAATATGCGTCACGACGCGGTGGAATCAGGCTCTCGTCAATATTTTGTTCATGTGGAGGTATTGGTATTATCTGAAAGTTTATCAATTTGTCTTGCTTTCAATGAAAGAAAATTCCCATCTATCTTGAATAGAAGTCAAGATATCTGCGATTAAAGGAAGTGGGGGTCACCTACTTTTAGTAGTAAAATTAGCGAGAAAAGGCAGCCAAAGTTTTGTAACTTCAATAGCTTGAGAGTTCTTAAAAACTGAAAGATCACATATTCTGCGCATTTAATCAACCATTTTCTTTTAATTTCACAATGAAATATGTTTTTATATGGATGAACTTAAACGTTGTTGAGCATGAAGATAAAACAAATAAACAAAAATTCAATGAAAATTGCCAAACTGGCGGAGATATGCGTTTTTCTTCGATTTCAATATTTTGACGAGTGCCTGATTTCACAACGATGCCTCATATAGATCTACGTATTTCTTTTTTTGTCCAGATTTCCAATATTATTCAAAACTCAGTATTTGTATGAAGTGAGTCCTTATACAATATTAAAGGAAATTCGTTTCTGCGTTTGAATCCATCGTATTACGTGCATTGTGAAAATTGTATGAGTGCTCTAGCCCTTCCAGCCCTAGCCATTAATTTTTCTGCACTCCCAAACCCTAGTCCCAGCCGATACAGCAGTATTTCACAAAAAGAGGTATGCATTCTATAAAGTGATGTAGTGTTTTTGTAACGAGGTTTAGATAATAACATATTATAATGTTTAACGGTAAATGAACAAAAATTATGAAAATTTAAGTTTGATTAGGTTTGCTGATTTAGAAAAATGCACAAATTCGGTATCCTCCGAAACTGAGAATATACGTTCTTGGGACCGTGGGAGGTACAAGCGCTGCTGAAAATAATAAAACGCACTTGGGGCTGGAAGAGCTAGAGCTAAACTAGGGGTTTTTGTGGTCAAGAGGTTACAGTATTCTCCTCTCTTTCAAAAGGTCCCGGATTCGAATCCGGACAGCGACGGAAAATATTCTTCTCTAAAATGTTCTCCTTTCACCTCTTGTCCTGCTCTCTAACCATGTTCTGTCGTCTGCTTTCGTCTCCACTTTCTGCCCCCACCCCCTCACCTGCTTTGCCCCCTCCTCTGGGCTCCTGGTTCTTTCTGCGGCCTTTCTACTGCTACTCCTTAGTTCTTTCTCATTGCTGTCTTTCAGCCAGACCTCTAATCTTATGGTAGATAAGATCTAACACCTAGCCTTCTTGGATAAGGGTGAAAAATCTCGGAAGTCGTGTGTGCAAGTTAAAGATCCATTGGTGGTCCAAAATCGATAAGAGTAGGCATCGGCGGCACTCGAAGAAAATTTCAAAATGAACTCCTACCCACTGAAAATGTTAAATGTGTGATCTTATAAACGCTCACATGACCTTATGCAGTTGCAAGCACCGTAAAAAGACTTACCAATCCCCCCCCCCCAAAAAAAAACAAAAAAAAAACAACAACAACAACAACAAAACAAAAAAACGAGCTAAGGTACTTGCTGTTCATACCAAAGCCACGGTTGGATTCTCGGTTCCGGCAGGCTTGGGGTAAGGACAACTAAATGTATAACAAGTATAAGCTTTCTGGCTAGTACAGTCGAACCTGTGTAAGACGGCCACCCATTGTCAAGGAGAAAGGTGGCCGTATAAGACAGGTGGCCGTCTGGGGCAGGACTGATCGAGATGAAGAAAACAAACCATTCCTTTCTGAGAAAACAAACCCTTCCTTTCTGAGGTCCCAACCGAAGTTAGTTGCATTGTTGTTGTTGTTTTCGCTGGGTTTTCTTTTCTTTTGTTGCTGCTTTTGTGTACGGGTGACAATAAAACGAAATGTGTCAGACAAGGACGACCAAGTGAAACACCCGTACCACCACTCGGGGAACAAGCAACGCTTCAGTCACAAGTTCATGCTGACGTCCATTGTTACTTTGTTACAGACTGGGTAAACAGTGACCACTCATCTCACTTGCGATTTGTGTATGGGTTCTGGGCGGGGCTTATGGGTTATGAGGGATCACACGCTTACCTCACCAGCAGCTGAAAATGTATTTTGTTACCTATTGGTCAACAGTGGGAGGGGCCTACGCAACATGATCAGTTGGAGGGACTACCTAACAACGACAGGTTTTTAGATTATGACGGCTCGCCTACAACTACAACGCCAGGGGCCAATGCACAATTTATGACAAAGCGTAATGGAGTCACTTAGGTGGCCGTCTAAGACAGGTGTTTTTGCTTTGTGTGATAGGGGTTGTGTGTTGAAATATGGTGGCCGTGGCCGCGTTGGACAGGTGCCCGTTTTACACAGTTAAATTATATAGAAAAAAACGCAAGGGGGGAAATGGAAAGTGTCCGTTTGTACATGTGGTCGTCTTATAGAGGTGGCCGTCAGGGCAGGTTCGACTGTACTTATTCAGCGACACAGAACGGTTATATTGCGTCCCCATCGACACAATTAGATCATGTAGGAGGTGAGCCAAGTCAACCGAGTCTGTCAGACTGCCACGCAAAAAAATGGGATTGTTCACAGCACTTCCTGCTTCTCAAACACATTTTCATACGCATAATTTTGGCCTATGTCACAGCTCGTAAATGACACTTTTTAGTGGCAAAACTTGTTACAAGACATTAATTTTTATAGTGAACACATTCTTTGCACTAAAGGTTCTCAAAACATCCGTTCAATAAAGATTGTGTCACGATTAGGAAACAAATGACGGACTTGCAAAATTTAATAGCGATATCGCCCCAGCTGTAAACCTTTGAAAATCTGTAGAAACCACCCACATGGATGTTTAAATTAGTATTTAATACAGGATTTTATAGAATACAGCCGGCAGGTGTTTACAAAAATGCTGATCTTTATTTCTGAGGCGCGCCAAGGAGGTGGGTGTCAACAGAGAAGTCCAAACGGGGAATCAGGCTTACTCTGCTCACCTCTCTGGTCTCAACAGCTCAAAGTCTGCTTCGACTATCAAGGCACCGCGAATAGAAGTTCACCAGAGAGTGACAAACACACAAAAGAGGTAGAGGAATGACCATAGAAGGATGAGGGAAGGAAAAGAAACAGTTCCTCCTTTGTTGTTCCGGCACAGTACTATGAGCATGACTTTGAT